AATGAATTGCCCTTGAGCCTTGCAATGACACTTCTTATGATCCCTTTCATTAGTAGATTTAGCAGTGGTGTATGCTTTGTTCTCTGGTGTGTTCCTTTGAACCAGTCATTAATTTTCACATACTTGGGTGCTGCAAATTTAAATTTGCTTCTTTTTTGGGTCCTCAGCAACTAGTTGCCCTCAGGTATGATTCTGGGTAATGTTCACTTAAGGCACCTCTCCCCATAGGCAGCACGTAGAGGGTCATGTCAGGATTGTCTTCTGCCCTGCAGTGGTCTCTAACACTGTCCTGTTGATTAAGCTGCCAAGCTCATGTCCTTGCACATTCTTGTATGTCCCCTAGCCTTGACCCTGTAATATGGCATGTAATATGCACTTGACACCTTGGATGCTTTGCTCCAGCAGCCCCTTGTCATTTCAGACTTCCTGAGCTGAAACAAGAGCAAAATGTAGTAACTGCCTCCAGGCACCACACGGAGCACAGAGGAAAAGCCAGGCCAATGGTGATGCCATGTGCAAGCATGCCTTTGCTAAGTGGGGTGGGGCTGGGAGGGGGGAATGTCTGGCATTGCCCTCTCTGAATTGGATTTACATTTAGAATGTAAAGTTAGCTTTGAGGTATCTGTAGTAGGCCACCTTAAATCTCTAGATAATATCATTGACCCTCCCACTGTAATTCTGTTGTCAATAGCTCCTAGCTCCTAGACTTCAGAGTGATTAGGATGTACAGAAATTTGGAACACATCAGATGCTTTGATATTTTATGCAGATATAAGGTAGAGCACAGCTGCTTTTTGCTGTGCTTTGTTACTCAGGTCCTGGTCTTTGTTAACTTACTTTTGTTGGGGAAAACCAAAATCAAGGACTAGTTTCTTGTCAGAGCAAACAGTAATCACTATAGTCTGTATTTATAATAAGTAGATGGAAATAGCACATTGCACATGCTTGTCAGCGTGTTACAGCAGGACGGCTGCAACAAGCCTGCTGATTAATTGCAAAAGGCTTATAAGATGTGTATATTTCATAGCTGCAGGTGGCTGTTTGTGATGCTTTGGGATCAATTATTAAATATGAAAAAATATTCATCACAATTGCTTTGTAGTAGCTTTTCTCTAGCTTGTCCCTGTTAAGCCAGGTGTTTACATGTAATTTATGCACATCAGTCTGCATTCCTGCATGCAGAAATCCTTACACAGTTGACACAGCAGAGAAGCACATAGACCATTCAGAGTAAATTTTACATCTAACTGATATTCAATATATAGACCTCTTCAGTCTGCACAATGAATATAGTGTAATTTACCCAGTGCATGCAAATTACTGTGATGTATTATAAAATTTAATTATACATATCAAACTAATAAAGATTTGGAGCAGGATCAAGCATTCTCCAATAGACACCCTGACAAGAGCAGAAAATTTCAGTGTGTCATAGCATAGATATTGAACTTGAATATTTTATGAACCTGTATTATTCATGTAAAGACACATTCCAAGGATATATGCAGAGCTGTTATATTAAAAGTAATACAAGATAAAAGTGGAAGTTTTCTAAAAGTATTATCAATAGCAGGGAAAACACTGGTAGTTGTTTGGATCCCTTATTTCATTGTGCAGTCAAGGCAGGATTGGAATTGTACCCCAGAGTGAGTTCATTTTAGCAAAATACCTTTAGAAATAGAAGCAGCTCCCAACTCATCTGCATGCTAAGCACCTCCCTCCCTCACAGAACTAGGTTTTGCTGAAAAGCTTACCGGAGCAGACTAACAAGATAAACTATCTCTTGACTTTTTGTGTTAAAATTGCAAAAATAATGTATTATATCATGTAAGATATGAGATGCATGAGTGACCAAGGTTAAAACTTCCAAAACCTGTGCAACAAGTATTTTGATTCTTATCAATGGGCAAAAGCAATTTTCTCTATGCCATAAAACTCTTGCTGTGTTTCGTCATTCTGTTTGGTTACTGTTATATTTCTGATTGTACTTCAGAATATTAAGATTGAGATTATAAAAGTAAATAAATTGGAGGACTCTAGTTTTCCTGGGAAACATTGTGAGTATTAATAGCAGTTATAAGGGGAGGCAAAAGGATGCTTTTGATTCTTCAACCTGAAAAGTAAAACTGCTGATGAGAAAAGAGAAAGAAGTAGAATCTGGAACTGTAGACAGAGAGCAGTGACTTGAAAAGCACTTGGAAAAAGACAGTCTCGTACTTGCAGCTCAGCAAGACAAGATTTTGGCCATGCACAAGGATTCCTTCTTCAGAGTCTGTGCTTTTCAAATCTGTGGAGCAAATAAGTGTGTTTAAAGATCAGTACCAATGTTATCTCTGACAATGTAACATTACTCTTTTTAAAAAAAAAATCCATCTGCTATTTTTAATCTCTACTGTGGCTCAAAGCTGAAATATTAATTTTTGTAATTTAGTGAATGGATATTTTTACAGTTATTATTTCTGTTACTATATTTATTATCTGTCCCAACAATCTAGCTCTCACTGTTAAATTTCAGCACCCACCATGTTGTCCAGGTGGTCCAGAACAACATATCTTTACCAATTAGTGCCAAGACCATGATGGTTTTGTAGCTACCCCTAGAGTCTCCTCATTTACTTTTCCTGAGCCCTGAATATTAACCCTATTCAGCTGAACACATTTCAGGCTCTTCCCTATTATATCTTCCAGGTCATGCTTCCCGATCTGGCTGGCTCTGGGAATGGGGCAGGGGTCAAACCACATAATCTCATATGCTTTGTTAGGTTGTTGGGAGCAGATTTGAACAGGCACACTTTCAGACAGATCCTGCCGAGAGAGATAGAGAGATTAAGAAAACAATGTGGGTGGAAAATGCATACCTACAGAAAATGTGAAAATCCTGCTTTGCAGTACAACTCAATATGTGGCTTATATTTCCTAGGTGCTGTTTGAGTTATTTTTGAGGCTCATCCTGCCTATCAGCATTGACATGCTGAACACACCCTCAGTTTTTAAAGAGAAAGTTCAGGACCAAATGTAGTGTTTGGGTTTCTACATACTGAGTCACTGAATCTCCAACAAATCCCTCCCACAGCCACCTGCACTGTGTAAGAGTGGAGCCAGGTCTGCCTGGTGTACCTTGCCTACCCTCCTCTACCTCACATTGAGCAGCACTGGTTAATGTGTTTTCAGCTGACCATGAACTGGCCATGTGGATGAGCCTGTAGTGGCCCAAAGGAAAACCTTAGAGCTGTTGACCTCAGAAGGGAGGAAAGGATCTGTGGCAGTTGTTGGTCTCTTCCATGCGGAGGCATTTGGGTGCAGCTTAATGGCCGTAGATAAACAAACCCCGGTCCAAAAAGCTTAAGAGACCAACCTCAGCCCCTTTCACTGTGGGCATGTCTTCTCTAAGCTCAATATAGTAATTCTTTCACTTTGGCCATGTTTGCTGTTTCCTTGAGAGCTTCAGAGAGGTTACTCTGATAGCTCTATGGTATGACTTCTCCTTTCCCTCCACCAGCTCTGCAGACCCAAAGAGCAAGGGCCAGCTGATCTCCACAGCATGTTTACACATCCTGGGGAATGGGCAGGCTGTGTGGAGGCTACAAAAGCCTTAAGTTTTATTGTGATGAATAAGATCTGTCAAGATCTGTCAGTTGCAAACATCAACAATGTGCAACAGGATGGTGAAAAATTTTTCAGAGCAATTCAGTCTCCACAGCAGGTGGAGATGGAAGAAATATTTCCTTTTTTGTCTGTTTGCCTGAGCAGACCATGAAAAAGATGCATGCAGACTTTCCAGGGGTGAATAAAGGAGCACTGAAATGAAGGGGTAAATGCAGAAGAATGTTGTAGCATGTACTTATGTGAAACTTTGTCATATCTATTACTTTCTGAGAGAAAGTAATGTTACCCATTGAACTTTGGGTACATATTTTGAACTAAATTTAAAAAAAAAAAACAACAGGACAATAAGTTTGAAGAAAGCGCATTATTGCATCACATGATCACATGGAGGTTTTGGTGGAAGAAATTTAAAGATCATTGAGAACAACTGTCATCATCTAGAAGACTAATTTCTGCCATGTGACACCAGAATTCACTCTAGATCAGCCATAACACATAGAGAACCTGTAAAGGACTGGAAGCCCTTCTTGCTCAAGGAAAACATGAAAACTTCTGGGTGAAAATGAAATAGCATTTTAAAGGATGTGGGATAGAAGCTTGACCAAAGGGATGAAGTCTTTAAACTATTTCAAAATATTTACATTACTTTCTAATCCTACAGTTGCAAGCCTAGAGTCTGACTGCCCAGAGGGGTTGTGGAGTCTCCTCACTGGAGGTATTCAAGAACTGTTCAACAATCCTGTGCAATGGGCTCTAGGAAGCAGGGATGTTGAACCAGATGCTCCACTGTGGTCCTGTTCAGCTCAACTATTCTGTGGTTTCCCAAACAAATTCCCCAAGAGTTATTTCTGTTTCAGAACTGTTGAGATCATATGTTCTGTAAAGTCCACTGTTTACTTTGAAGACATTTTGTGGTGAGAAGTAAGAATTTGCCAAGTCAAAATGCATTATATTTTTGATATTATGTATCTTAATATTTAACATTTTTCTGTGGAATGCATAAAGGATTTTTCCCTTTTTTTTAAATTTTCTGTGAGAATTGTATCTTCTTTTGCAGTCACTCAGCCTAGCAAGGTGGCTAGAGGCATATTACCAAGTATGTGGTTAGTAGACAGTATCATGACCTGTCTACATTTCAGCTGTGTAAAGGTTATTAACAAGACATCTAATTTGTAACAGTTTGTCCTAATGAAGATCTTCATGTTTCAGCCTTTTGAAGAGAAGTCATTTCCAGTTTGTAATTGAGGAAGAGAAATTTCTTCTTCAATCAGAAGAGTCTTTTTATGTTAGTAAATGAGAACGACCAAGTCAGATCACCGTTCTTGGGCGAAAACTGCAAGAGAAAGCTTTGCTGTAAGTTATTCTAACTGTTGCTTCTTTTTCTCTGCTTTCAGAGGCTGGCAGCAAGAAGCTAAAGAGCACGATACAGAGAAGCACAGAAACAGGAATGGCAGCAGAGATGAGAAGTCGTATGGTTCGACAGCCAAGTCGAGAATCCACTGACGGCAGCATAAATAGTTATAGCTCCGAGGGCAAGTAAGTGGCATTAAAAATATCAGTAATGTAGGAGAAGTTTCTAAAAGTAGAAGTTTCTTTCCCATTACTTGGGATGTCCCACATGCTAGCTGACGGGAATAGCTTTGTGTAAAGATTCTTCCTCTTGAAATATTTGAAAAGCAACTATTTTAGGTACATAGCACAAATTTCATGGAAATTGAAATTGAAACAGAACTTCTGAAGAAACCTTATTTTCCCTGTCACCCAGTGAGGCATTTTGTTCATCAAAAGACAACTAAATTAAAATTTCATTATTCAAAATGAAACACAGGGATGCTTTTTCTTTGAGATATGTTGAGATTACCTCATAGTTAAACTTCAGATGTTTTATGTGAATCCCTGTGATATGAAACTCTGTTCAGTAGTACTAGATACGAAGAAAGTTTAATTTGGAGTTGTTCCAAGTGTCTTATTAAGAGCTGTAAACCCAGAGCCCAGCTGCCCCATCAGCTGAAGTCAGACAGACAGCTGTGGGGAATAGGGCAGCTGTTTCCATTCACTGCTAAACAATTTGATATGTAGGAAAAGTGAACAAAGGCAGTTCTGACACAAAAATGTGCAGGAATATTCCAGCATCCTCACAGTTCTCAGTGGGACTCTACTGCATGTGTCAAGGTATAGTGGTTACTAGGGAATTCTTAGAAGATGACTTCCCAAATAAAGGGAAAAATGGGAGTGGGCAAATGCACCTTTATAGACCTGGGGAAAAATGAGAGATTTGGACTTCTTGGCTTCACCTTTTTGTATGCTTACTGTGTTACCACAATTGCTACTGCATATCGTATAAGGCACAAAGAGCCGAGGCTGCTGTGCTGGTGGTGGCAAGGATCTGTGTAAAGGTGCCTCTATCATCAGATCTTCTCACCACTCTAATTTTTTTGCAAACACTGTAACAGGTTGCCCAAAGAAATTGTGTATTAGCTTATCACTGGGAGTGTTCACAGCCAGATTAGATGGGGCTTTGAGTTACCTGATCTAGTGAAAGATGTGCTTGTGCATGGCACAGGCATCAGAACTTGATGATTTTTAAGGTGCTTTCCAACCCAAACCATTGTATGGTTCTGTGATAATGCTAAGAATTTTAATAGCCATGTAAGAAAAACAGGCTCCATCATGACTAATACAAAGCCAAAGCAGATAAAGATCAGAAGAAGAATGAGGGACAAGAGTAAAATATCCCAGTGTTTTCCCCATTATGATTCCTTGACAGGCCATTATTTTACCCTTTCAACACTGCACCCTGCCATTCTCTTTCCCTTCTCTTAGGCTGGAGTGTCAATCTGTAGGGCATCAGTTACTCACCATGGTGACAAAGGGCCAAATAAACTGGACCCTTTAGGAAGGAGCTGGGGGAGCCTGTTTCCCTGGTTAGCAGTGGAGAGGAGAGGTGGGAGCCCAGGACTAAGGCTGAGCACATTTTCAGCTTAATCCTCTGTTCCACCCTCATTGTGTGTAAATAGATTTGGCAGGGCTGGGGCAGCCAAGGTCTGGATATGGGGGTCACAGCAGGCTTCTGCAGGACAGAAAGGTAGAGCCATAAATTGCTGATTTGAGCATCAACTTCTGAGTAAGGCGGCGAGGAAAGCAAGCTTGAGAATTGAACTGGGTACTTGCACCCCAGGTACCTTGTCATGTTCTTTTCTTTGACCCTTACCTGGAGTTTAATGGATTAGAATTAATACACATTAAGATTAATGTGTACTTCCAACCTTCATTATCATATGTATAGCCAGAAGTGTGGTCTCAAGTGAATATTTTCAATGTTGTTAGCCTGTGGCAAAATGTAACACATTTTTGGAAAAAACGCCAATGAAACAAGCAAGAAACATCTCATAGCAGATGCAAGAGTGAAAGGATAATGCCACTGGAGAGAGAAGCAGATAGTATCTTGGTGTTGAACTGGAAACCTTGAGATTCTTTTCTTCCTCCATCTAAAGAAACCATATTTAGAAAAAAAATTAAAACTATATTTCTGTGAAAAAGTTTAGCTTTTGAAAAATAAAGAGTTTTCTAAATAAAAATGCAGTGCCAAGGAAATGTCATGAAGCCGAATCAGGGGAGATTCAGGTTAGATGTTAGAAAAAGTTTTTCTGCCCAGAGAGTGGTCACAGCAACAAGCCTGACAGAGTTCAAGAAGTGTTTGGACAATGTTTGCAGGCACTTGGTGAGATTTTTGGGGCTGTCCTGTGCAGGGCCAGGAGTTGGACTTTGATGATCCCTGTGGATCCCTTCCATCTCAGGCTATTCTATGATATTTTCTGACCGGCTTCAGTCACTGACAGTCAGTAAGTTTAATGCAGGCATAGAAAGAACAGAGTCTTCAAGAGAGGAAGGGACTTTTTCTATGCAACTGCTGGGTTGGCAAAGAGCTGTGAATTGAATGGCTGAAGCACATAAGCCTGATGTGCAGAAACCAAAGCTTTTAATACTAGGTGCTTTTGGTTTTATTTGGAAGTTTGTTATTATTTTTGCAGTCTAATAGGGAATTTCATTTGAGGAAGAAGGAGTGGCGGATGGCCTGCTGGGGAATATGCTGTCTAGACTCAGTTCAGAGTCTGTTCTTTTATTTTTAATAATTGTTATAAGGAAGTCAAAGCTGAGTCTTCCCACCATGGATCACTCTTTCTCTCTCTCTTTGTTTTTTTCATTTGTTACTGTTTGGAGACTGTATATCTATTTTTTTTAAACAGTGGACACTATGGAATATAAGAAAGCAGCTTGGTAAAGTACATATTATAGCATCATAGAATAGCTTGAGTTGGAAGGGACCTGTAAAGGTAATTTAGTCTAACACCCTGCCCTGGGCAGGACCATCTTCAAGATGAGGTTGCTCAAAGCCCTGTCTAACCTGGCCTTGAATGTTTCCATATACTCTGTGCTGATGTGTTAAGGTTCAGTTTGTATCATTACAGAGGGGTGGGTAGCAACTGCAGATACAGATTTGCCTGCCAGAGTATTTTGGCTAGATAGTGGTGTTAGGTTTAGCTCTAATCATCACTACTGCTAACTACCTGCCAGTTTACTGCTTCATTAAACAGCTGCAGCAATCAGATTAATTTAGTGTGCACATCTGTTTTCCCTGTTTGCTCTAACTGATACAGATGGGGTTTGGATCAATGTAAATCACATATTCACTAATGAAGAATAGGCTATGAAATTTCATGAAGCTTTTTATGTTTTCTCATACATTTCTTGGTCTATTTACCTATCAAGGTCTTCACTGCTCCTGGAGACCTCCTCAGCAAGACCTATTTTATGGACTACTTTGAGTTGATGTGCAGAGTTTCTCTACACTGCTTTGGGATCCATGGGAAACATATCATTCCTGATGCTGTAGAATGATTTGTGGTTGTGTATCCTGAGCTGCTTGCCTTGTATCAGTAGTACTTTTGTGGTAAATACTGTAGGATGACAGAAATTAATCCTATTCTTATGCTTAACCAGCTTCTATTTTGTTTCAGTTTAATATTTCCTGGAGTACGGCTGGGCGCTGACAGTCAGTTCAGTGATTTCCTCGATGGACTGGGACCTGCACAGTTAGTAGGCCGACAAACACTAGCAACCCCTGCCATGGGTAAGAATGATATGTTCTCCTCTGTTAAATGAATAATAAGACAACTAACTAATGCACACACTGGCAGACTACAGTACTAAAAGGATTTTTACCCAGTGTCTTCCTTCACTGTCAACATGAAGGTTCTGTCTGCAGTCACCAGTGTTCCTATCACGGCAGCACCCAAAGTGGGGTGAGAAACTACTTGCTTCATTTGAGGCACTGGCTAATCTTATTTGCGATTTGAAGATAGGGGTTTTACTTCCCACAAAAAAGTATTGTGACTTCTCCAATCGTAGCTCGCTGCAAAATCTCAACTGTTCAGTGTTTGTATTTACTTGACACAGATATTGGATGTGACAGAGAGCTTCTGGACAAACTGCACTTTTCCAAGTTTAGTTCATCTAACTCCAGAAAGTGAACGCTGCAAAATCTCAACTGTTCAGTGTTTGTATTTACTTGACACAGATTATATTGGATGTGACAGAGGGCTTCTGGACAAACTGCATTTTTCCAGGTTTAGTTCATCTAACTCCAGAAAGTGAGTCGTCTGGAAACATTTGCAATGACCAATAATCAGTCACTGATAAAGCCAGTGCTTGTTATAAGAGACACATAGTCCTTTTCTACAACAGCTGCTGGGGGCTTCCGTGATCTTCTCTGTTTTTCAGACCAGTCTGTAATTTCCTTTAGCAGCATTAGCTATAGCTTCTTTATGAACAGGGTATGAGTTGTATAAGGAGTACAAGAGTGCAGAACTGTGTAAGTATCTTTGGAAACATCTGGGTTGGAGTTTTTGGGGTTTTTTTGCTTATATATGAGCAGTTCTTAGACATGCTTTAGGATGCTAATTGAGGAGTCCTTGATCCACTACTGTAATAATACTTCTCCTGCTGGAAATTATAATGGCCAATGCTTCAATACAACTGTAAACCAGCTTTAGGAAGGACTACTGAGACACATCTGAAAAAGGAGACAGAAACAGAAAAAAATTTGCAAAAAAGTGTTTCCTTCCCAACTGATGAGCAGAGGAAACCTATAGTGAGAATGCTCTGAGGACCCACTAAGGCAAAACTTGCTGTATAAATCCAAATGATTGCTACCAAAGCATTCATAAACATCAAACTTATTAAATTAACATTTTTATTATTATTTTGGAAGAAAATGTACTAGTGAGATTATTTGTCCAGTAAATAGATGAATGGCTTTATTGGCATGCATATAAGTGTCTACATTTCTTCTGTTTCTTTATTTTAATCTTGTTTTGTGACTAAAGATTTTTCTGCAGATAACTTGAGTAAAACGTTTATTTTGACTTTTTTTAGAACTTTATCCACTATAGGCTCAAGTTTTGCCCCACAAAAAGCACTCCACCGTGTTTTTAAACAATTTTAGAATATCTGCTCTGTGCTATCCTTTCATTAGTGATGATTTGAAGATGTTTGGATTATCGCTCCCCCTTCTGGTTACCTATTGCATGTTTTATTTTGGATATGAGATAGAGATGTGCTCTTAAGAAAGCTTCTTGGAATTTACCTCTGAACTATTTTTAGTGCAAAACACAGCTGTGTTTATTCAGGCAAAGTTTAATTAATAAAAAAATCTTTGTTGCTGTTCTGTCATACCTCACATGCCAAGGTATAAACACTGCTTTAATACGCTGTTAGAGAAACATGTGAAAATCTCACACCTAATTAATTTTGAAATGCTGTTTCTCTAAATCCAGACTCCAAATTCTATAGTTCAGGATCAGCTATTTGTGAATTTGGTTTTTTTAGACAATCAGAGCTTACATATCAAATATATACATACTCATGTGTTTCATGGATGTAGTTAATTTATTTGCTCAAGTGTCATGTAGGTGCTCATGTCATATTGTGCATTTTTTATTCTAAACGGTCTATTTTAATCTATTTTAATATGTTAGATTTCTACTCAACTGATTCCATGACATATGAAAGCATAGAGATACAATGTTTGGAGCATCAGTACATAGTTTACTGCTTTTGTATTTTATTGATCTAGATCAGAGCAGTGCTTAGTCTCAGTGTAAGCAGTTCCCTTTTTCTGCAGGAAATGTCATTTGTCAAAACCCAGGCAAGGAAACAAGTTTGGCTGTTTAGAAATGAAAACAGTTTCTTTTTTTAACATGTTGTGACATTTTAGTCACACCAAAAATGTGTGTGGAATATTGATAAAAATTGAAAAATCGTCACCTGTGAGCTTGTTGGAGACTTTTGAAGAAAAAGATGCCTCTTTTTAGCCAGTATGAACTGTATACCTAGAGAGGGAACCACGCTCCCTAAGTATATATTATTTAGTCCTTGTTTAAGGATAGAGAAGCTAAAGGGATCATCAGGAGACACAACAAGCACAGTAATGCAGAAGAATAATATAAAACTAGTCTTTCTCACTCTTATACCTTCTCTCCTGTGCTGTACTGCTTCTCTAAAATGTGGGCTATTTTCTTCTCCCTCCCAGGTGACATCCAGATTGGAATGGTGGATAAAAAAGGCCAGTTAGAAGTAGAAGTCATTAGAGCCCGTGGCCTCACACAAAAACCTGGCTCCAAATCTACCCCAGGTATGGAAAAAAACTATACGCAACAATGCTTCAAGAAGGGAGCAGCTTGTGCTAGTGTTTCTGTCAGTGTCAATAATTTACATAATGCATATTGTAATAATACTGTATCATTTTATAAGGACATTTGCTGAAGTTCTACTTATCTATAGGAACAATTATTAGAGGAGATTTAGAATCAGTACCCCAATGACTGCTTATTGTAAAACCTGGAACAGTTCTTTTAGATAACATTTAGTGAAAATGGTACTTTGCAATCTCTTTAAGAGCTAGAGATGAAAGTGCAATTCGTGTCTGTGTCATTGGAGCGGTAGAGTCTTAAAGATTCCTTTTGCTTTGAACTATCTCTGACCCCTAAGCATTTATAGAGAATCCAAAATAGCTGTCAGTGACAGCTAACTCCTGGAAAAATAAAATGTTTTTAAAATGACTGACATGAAGTGTAATTGTTATTAGTAAGATCTTGGATCATTACATTCAAAGTTTATAAAAATCAAATTGATTTCTTGTGGGCTGTGTCATCTTTTTTAAGAATATAATTGTATTCAGATTATACAATTGCAAAGATAAAATGAAAATAACGTGTGTAATTTTCTTTGTACTCTGCTTCCTTTTAAGGCTTTTGTCTTCCATTTCAGATGTGCACTGTAAGTCCAAACATAACATTCTTGATGGTCTTTTTGCAGCTCCATATGTTAAAGTGTATTTACTGGAAAATGGAGCATGTATAGCTAAGAAGAAGACAAGAATTGCAAGGAAGACGCTTGATCCTCTGTACCAACAGACACTGGTTTTTGAGGAAAGTCCACAGGGTAAAGTCCTTCAGGTCAGTTTCTTCTTAATCCTATTCTAGGCTGTCATTTAGGGAATCACTTGCATGTTTACTTGAATTTAACGAGTATGTGTAAATCCATTCCAACTCACTAAGAATTTATTTTTATAAATACCATTACAGACATCCTTGTGGTTTGTGGTTTCAGACTTGCAAAATGTCTCATTGCATTAAACATTTCTCTTTTGTTGACTCTTCTTCCTGTCCTGCCATGAGGTTTTTCCATGAAAGGGAAACAGTCATTCACTCTTGAGAGTAACATTTTCCTTATGGTAACACATATAACAGCAAGAGTGAACATACATAAGCACAGGTTTAAGTATATAACTCTGTATAAGCATGGATTTGAGGACAATAATGAACCTTAATTTTATGTTCTTCCAGGTAATAGTCTGGGGAGACTATGGCCGAATGGACCACAAATGCTTCATGGGAGTTGCCCAGATCCTTCTGGAGGAACTGGATCTGTCCAGCGTGGTAATAGGCTGGTATAAATTATTTCCACCTTCATCACTTGTGGATCCAACATTGACTCCCCTGACACGTAGGGCTTCCCAGTCATCTCTGGAAAGTTCAACTGGGCCTCCCTGCATTAGATCATAGTAGCAGGTGCTGTCTATTCAAAACCATCACCCAGGATAACAATTGGAACCAGATATTCACATGATCAACAAAACACTGTTGGAGAGAGACAATCACTTCCGTTTTTGCTTGTAGTAGTTATCCAAACGTATGTCTGTCTGTTGAGAGATGGCTTAAATTGACAGAACAAAGGTATATCACATACAGCTAATCTATTAGCAGATACCACTGATGCTTATAATGAAAAAAAAAAAAGAAAGAAAGGAAAAAGAAAAAGAGAGAGGGACATTTAGATTCGACCTAAGTCAAAAATGACCCAAACTGGAAGCTCTCACTCTGTTAAAAATGTTGTTTTTTCACATTTTGAGAGAGCCCTCAAGCAGTGTTACCTTCCTGGTGTTTCAGCAGTTTTTCTGTACTTGTCACTTCCACTAGTTTTTTGCCACGTGATTCTGCTAGTTTTGTAGAAGTCCTCACAATGCTAACAGAGACCCTTCCTTTCTTTTTCTAAACCAAACAAAAAAGGGCTGAAGCATATCTCTGTAAGCATCGTTAAAATGTTCAACAGCCACAGTTACAATTCCAGCAAGTTCAAATTGTTCCTCAGTTCTGGTACTGGGAACCCAGAACAAATGACCAATCTAAGTTATATTCTTAAAAATAAAAATCATCACAGTGCCACTTTTTCTTTGTAAAAAGCAAATATGTTTGCATTATATATATATATAAAATAACTTTTCTGTTTATGATGTTTTGCATGGAAGAATTTTGAAGAATTCTGCAACTACTGCTGGGGACTGGTATAAAGCAGCTTTAGTCTTAATTTTGACATTGAATATGTTACTGGTAATGCAATTTTCCTCCTAGAAATGGAGAGGAAATACTTACGTTTCTGTGTATAAATGTATATTTGACTTCCCAAAATGTTGACCAGGAATGAATTGAGCATATGACACTTTCAGCTGTACCCAGGCTTCTCTGATGTGTGTCGCTTCAGACGCACCTGTCTGCCCTGGATAGAGCATGGTATGAGTTGTTCAATGTTTCACTGGAGATTCCAGTTGAAATATTCTGCACTTACTAATGTTTTTACCAAATTTTAGTTTACATTTCTTTGAGATTGATGCAAGCACAAGGCTTGATTTTTTAACGCAAGATATCTTACTTTTTGGAGAAAAAAAATCAAATTTCAATTTGCTTTCTATTCATTTGAGTTCTTCTTGGCCTTGAAATCCCTTGTGACATTCTGTAAATGTGCGAAGAACTGCAGATTCCTGCAGGTGCATTGATATGTTTCCCCTCCTTTTACAGGCCATTCAATTTTGTGATCACACAAATAGAGCAGCATGACTTGGAACTGTTCAAAGCTGCATGCACGTTTTGTAAAAAGAGATGAAAAAAGGTTATTTAATAATGTATGTTAGTTCCACATAGGCCAGCTTGTATGTTGCATGTACTTGTACAGTTTGCTCGTAATTACTATACTGAAGTAACCAAGAAATCTAAGCCATCCATTTTTCTTATAGACATTTTGCAGGTTTTAGCCAGGCTAGGTCTGTGGGTCTGGTGCTAAATGTCTATAGATGGACTTTATTTTTTACCCTATGGAAAACGTGATGTAGTACGGACCAAATTCCTTCTAATAACTATTTTGGTGTAGATTCCTACTGTGGGGCTGTAACACATGTAGAAACTGTGTACACACTAGGTTTTAATTCATAGACATACTGCCTGCACCAAGTGAACTATTTATTATTACTCAACACATGGGAATTATTCTGCCCATCTTTCCATAGGGCACAGATTGGTTACTGCTCGACCTGCTGAGCAGGAAGAACTCAAGCATTGGTGCACTACTACTAGATCCTGTTCTGTCTTAGTGGACAAAAACCAACTAGATATAATTCGATAGTATCTTTCTATTTTGACCACTTGTCTTAACACTCCCCTGTGCTTTTAAATGAACTTCCAACTCATGTTATGTAAACATGTTTAATAAAATTTCCTTTTCATGTCCAGTGTAGTAGTTGTGCTCTCTGTATGTTCTGAGGTTCATCTGTGATTCTGCTTGCTGCAGGACTGTGTGATACGTGTTAAGGAACAGTAAAATAAGTAATTTCTATGGTTCTTTTGATTGCTGTAATAGTGTATGTTGAAATCTGGGGCCAAAAACTAAGGCCTGGTGAAAGTCATGTTTGGTTGGCTTCCTTTTCCCTAAGAAAGCAGCCAAATTGTGCTCTCATTTGTTGAAGCAGGCAAATTGAAGTTAAAAAAAATTAGCCAAATTATTATCTGTTGAAATCAAATCAGTGTGTTGGAGAGGAATGATGCTGTGGCTGCATGTAGTAGGGCAGCGGGGAGATACGAGTCAGGCACCAGGGCTCCACTTGGTGTGTGCCGAGCCTTTAAGATACAAGAACAACTACTGACCTTTGGCACTTTTTAAAACCATGAACATGCCCTTCTATTGTGATGCGGTTATGAACAATGCTTTACAGAAATTTACCTGAGAGCAGAATTTGGCACTAAAATTTTGCTAGAGAAGCAAAGATTATGTACTTCTTTTTAGTTTTCCATGTCCCACAGATATATGATCACAATTTAATAATAACATAAAGACAGTATTGCCTCACTTTGAACACTTTTGTTTATTACTTTATTTAACTGAATACATGGTTAAGATACTGAAAAAATGACTAATTAAACATGGTAAATCTCTGAACAAAAGGCATGTTATTCTGTGTGGTGGAAGTGATCTGTTTAAATACAGAATTTTTCATTCTGTTGCAAAAAGCCCTCAGCTTTATTAATCTCACTGCATTGACCACTGTGTCTAATACTAGGATATCTTTTCCTTTCTGATCCTGAGAAATAAATGAAGTCCAGCATTGCTAGTCTCCCCCTAGAGGACAGAAAATATGGCAGCAAAAGAACATGCTAAAATATTTCATTTATGGTGTTTCTGATGAACGGGGATCATAAATGCCAAGATTTCAGGAATGAGGTAGAGCATGCTAGGTCAGACAAGTTTTGTGCTGGATTCCTTTCCCAGGGACTGCTGCCTTTTAAAAACTCATTGCTGAGTGTTGGGATTATAATACATAAATAAATCAGCTGAAGTTCACTCTTGTTTTTCCCTTAAGAAGGCAGTACTGACTTATATATATGTCATGCAGGAGAAGAGCAAAGATTATTAAACTCATAAGCCCTGTTATATAATCACACAGTTCTTTTCTTTGTGATGAGTAAATGTTCTAAATTTTATATTCAAATGCAAATTTATGTCCCTCCTTGTGGGCAGAGGAAGAAGCTTTTGGCCTTAACCTTTTTTTTAGAGAGGCATCAGAACTGCTGTGAGTGTACAGGAAAAAACAGAGCTTCATGACTTCATGTTTTCATAATTATCAGAAAAATTACATATACAGTTTGGCTGCCTGTTTTCTCAGAAGGCAGGTTTAACCCAGATATGGGTTACAGAAGAGACACAGAAGACAAGTTCAGAGAGGTCTTTCAGCGGCTGTTCGGTGTCCTCGAAGGTTTTACTTATAGCCTGTAACTGGTCCTCTATGAAGTTGTCTGTTTGCAGCTCCTGTGTAGTCATTTACTCCACTATCTACAGCCCATTTATCTCAAGGGAAAAGAGTTATAGGATTTTTGTTCTTCTTTTGCCTTAAATTAAGAAAGTCACAGCAGTCTTCCTTTAAAGCCCCAAACACTCATTCCATCATGCCCTACTATAATTCTGCAAGCATAGCAGAAAGCAATCTGCAAGAAAGTTTACTGTTGTCAAAGGACAAGATTTCTTTCTCATGCCAGGTGATTCTGGATGTTGTAAGTGATTAAAAACTCTTCTAACAACTATCAAGAGTAGTCTCAATACTTCTTCCAGTCCATTGGCTACTCTCTAGGAGAAGAAAATGCACAGGTCATGTATGAATTTCCTCAGTGTCTGCAGGAATGACCATGTATGATGCTGGTAGTTAAATATCATGCTTATGAAAGAGGTTGTGTGTGGCAGACATGTCGCACAGATCAAATGGTCTTCCAAATTTTGTGATCCAAACTCCCTCCTGGAGTGCAGAGACAGGAGGGGAAACTGCATTCTAGGTGATGCTAATGATTCAGCTGCAGACCCTGGTCTAATGAAATGCTCCTTAGTTAGGTATTTTCTAGTCATTGGTATGTTTTGAAGCCATAGTTTTGAATTAGGACATAAAACCTTACACATTCTGCCTTGTCAAGTCAAAATTTCTTAGAAGGTACTGAGGGAAAGGGCATAAAGTTGTCAAAATCTGTAGACTGCAATTTATCAATACGGAAATTCAGATAAGGCAAATATACAGCTGTATGTTTACATCTGGTAGTAGAACTGCATTATCAAGAACCAGGTCTTTTGGAGGTTTCAGCTGCTTGCTGCTAGAAGAGTGACATCTAAGAATTTCACAGAAATTTTTAGATTGCCTCTAGAAAAATTGCCTTCAAAAGGTGATGAGCAGGAGCTCATTATTAGAATGCCCATTGAACAACTTGGAATTATTTATTCTGATTACTTTTAACATGTTTACAGCTTTAGAGCCCTGCCAAAATGCAGTTACAATTCAGTAGTGGCCCACATGGTAAAGCAGTGGTCTGTAGTGAAAGGCTGTGTGGTATCACCTTCTGTGTGGATTTCCACTAAGTCTTAAATAATTCATTTCAGTGAAGACTGAGTCTTTTTTTCCACATTTCCCTCTCATTTATATCAGTGAGATATACTGTGTGACTTTGATAACCTGGTTATGGGTTTCTGCACTCATAATGTTGTGATTAATTAAATGGGGGTAGGTGTAATTCCCCATTTTAGAGATATTGCATAAATACAGACAGAGCAGAATATAAATATTCAAAAAGCATTTGTGAGGTCCTCAGGGATTTAAATGGCATAAGAAGATTTCATCTTCTCCTGGCTCCCAAAGTGTTTTTTACACTGACAAGTATCAGGAAGGAAATATCTTCTGTATTGAACCTTGTCACCCTATTTCAGCTACAGCCAAATAAAAGTTCCTGAGCCAAAGCAAGATGCTGATTTTCTTTTTTAGTTTATGCCAACACCTCTACACAGAATTTTTAATAGAGAAGATGTCTCATGTTCCAGACTCTTACTCTTCAGGAAGTATAGCAACACTATCACATCTGCATTTCCAGCACCTTCCCATTGTCTGGTCTGACTGGTCTAGGCTGCTTCATTGCAGCAGGTCTCCACAGAACCAAGGTGCCCATGTCTATACTAGACCAGTGATTATGGAAGGCAGAATAAAAATTCCATTTAGAACAAGCTCATACATAGGGCAGTAAGAAAATCCTAGATATTTTAAGAACTCCTGCCATGCAATTTAAATCAAAAATTAAGATTTTCAAATTCAGCAAATATTGTAAAATAGCATTTCAACTAAATGTTACAGTATATACCAAAAAGATTTGTTTAAAAGTCTGTTTGATAACTGTATTTGTGTACTGCAGAAAGAGTATCCACACAGAGGGAAAAATGTAGCAATATTACACTAACATGTAAGAACAAAAAATATCTAACACTATCTAGTTCAGAGAGTGAGAGATAGCTTAGAGGGAAATGTTTTCTAAACATTAGCTGCCGAGCAAAGTTAGAAGCCAAGGCCAGGAGCATTATGCTTGGGCTGCTGTCTGTTAAAGCTGCAGCAAAAGAGAGAGCCCATGAACAGCATCCTCCAGTTTTAGAAAGGGATGCATTTCTTCCAGTGACAGACAAGGTCTGTCCAGTGACAGAGATTAAGTTAGCAACCCTTCAACCCTTGAGTGCATAGGAATGGCAAGGCAACACAAAAAAAAACCCACAAAAAAACAAACAAACAAAAAAAAAACAACCCCCCCCCCCAAAAAAAAAAAGGCAATTAAAATAAAAATAAATGCTTAAAAAAATACTTTCTCAGCTGCTGAGAATGCAGCTCTGAACCAGATAGAGAATGTATTTGGAGTGATTCCTCATACTACAGGTCAGAAGGACTGGATGGCTGTTAGCAGCCAGTGCTACAGAGGCAGCTTTTTCTAATGGAGCAGTTTTCACATACAACGTGCCCATGCTTTTTTCTTTGTAGATGGTCTTCCACATGCCCTGCCTGTGAGATTAACTTTAAGGGGATGTAAAGGTGGGTCTATTTAATCTCAAATTCTATGTTGTGTAAAGGAGTTTTTTGCATCAGCTCTGATAAAGCTTCACGCACGATGTTAAAGAAGCCAGGTGCTCTGTGATGGGTAAACCAGTAAGTCAGAAACAGCAGAGCAGAAGCTTGGGAAGCATAAAGGGGGAGGGAGGAAGGAAGGAACATAAATGGTGCCTCTGTTCAGCTGGGGGGACCAAAAAGGGATACCCAGGGAAAAAATTATGGCATAATTGCTTGGCCCCTATCTTTTTGATTGAAAGCCTCAAAAAGAAGTGGCCACTCCTTGAAGCCTTATAGATGCAGTGCACATCTTCCTGAAGGGTCCAGGGATTTGGCCCAACTTCATTGCTTTGGTATCAGAAACAGTAGGGCTTGTCAAAGTGATACCATGCACTGTTAGTTGACAAGGTGGTGTTAGGTCACAGGTTGGACTTGATGATCTCAAAGGTCTTTTCCAACCTAGTTGGTTCTGTCTGTGACTCTGTTTTACTTTCTGACAGGTGACTCTGTAGGAGTTAACCAGAACAGAAGAAGTAAGTTGGTGGCACTAATAATATTTTGAGTTGCTCTGTACCTAGTCTCAAAAGGCACATAAAGTCTGTAATTGCTGGGAACAGGAAGCACCAACAAGCTTCTCACGGGCAGCTTGAGACTGGTTTTTTGACCTCTTTTGCTTCTTTTTATCTGGTAGGAAAAAGGCCCTGAGATTTGTGAGACAGCTGAAGTACAGTATCTGCTCTTCTAAAAAATGTAAGAAATTTTCTTATTGCCTCCTCTTGCCCTTTCCCTGATCATTGCTCTTGCAAATCTGTGAGGCAAAGTTTAGTGGAGTTTGGTGCCTGGAGTCAGCTTTCAGTTGTTCTGCTCCAGTGCTGCCACCAGCTCACTTGATCCCAAAGCCTATTGGTGGAACAGAGCAGCCATTCATATTAAAAACAAATAATGCAACCCTCAGGCCTTTTTTATTCATCATGTGCACGAAAAGACACAGGGAAGAAATACATCAAATTTTCTTTTGTTGGGGAGCTCAAAACATAATTAAATTCCAGCTGCACCAGGCGTCACTGCTGTGCTATCCATATAAAGCTTCAGCTCTGCTATACATGCCAGCTTCCTTGTTAGATGTCTGTTATGCCATTCTTAAATCATACTTCCATAAAACAAACTCCAAAATGTAAAAGAGGAGAGGGAGATGTCGCCATGGCAGGGCTTAAACTTCTCTCTTTGTTCTTTAGCTGGGTACCTCCCCCCAACCTCCCAAGACCATCACTCGTCTTGGTCTTGTTCTCCATCATTTTTTTGTGTGATACTAGCTCAGAGCTGAATCTCGTTATCTCCAAAGAATACGTGTTGGATTTGACAACACTTACATTTCTTCACAGAGTGAAAGTGAATGAAGTCAGAGGACTGTTGAATACCTCACCTCTCTGGGACTGCCCTTAAGTTTGTACGTGGCTGGTCTCGTGGCTGGTTTAATATCACTATATCCCCCCCCGCCACGTGTCTCATGCACACTGTGCATTTTTATAGATTCTATATTTGCTTTGTCTG